CAAGTTCATTTGAAAACGTTCAGTTCAACAGTTCGTGTTTGGATGGACAGAGCTGAATAACGTGTACGCATGCCCCAAGTTTTGCCTCGGAAACACGGATTTTGAGTCGTTCGCATGGTTGATTTCCTATTCTGTTGCTTCGAGGCGTCGTTTTCCTTGCCCCTTTTCTTTTACAGAACAACCTCCAAAAATTTGGTACACCCCCTAAAAAGTTTAAAAAATTAATTTTCTACTTTAACCTATGGAAATAGGAAAGTGCCTTCGACGAAAATAGAGTTCCCCGGTTTTAAAGGTCAGCCCTTACTATTTTCCGCTAATTTCGCTAAATTTTAGACCAAGGACACTTGAGCCCGCGTTGTTGACCGCATACCCGCTGACGTAGTATTTCATTAATCAGCTCTGTCGTTTGGATGCGTTCAAATCGATTCGGTTTGTCGCTTTTCTGGGCGTTTTATAAGTGTTTTTCGAGCCATTTTTCCTCTACAGAAGCCCTCACGACGGCACCATTAAGCTGGAATGTGAGTAGAGGCAAGCCTCTGAAAGAAATCAGAGGTGAGAGATGGTTTCATGTAGACTGAACCGCCAACGATGCTTTACAGCCAGCTTGGCGAGTTCACAAGTAAAGTTGTCTTTTAGGCCCATCTGTGGATGGCTTCCAGGACCTACCAAAGCTATGTGGCGAAGCTTTGACCGGTAAAAATTTTTTAATCGATGCGATATTTTCCTGGTAGGACTGGATGACCCGACACGATTCTAATAATTCTTTGAAATGAAAATGATAGGAGTTGCCGTTTCGAGTTATGCCGGAATTACCCAGAACTCTTTTCGGGCATGAACAAGACAACGGTTGTGTTCGCGACACTGGCTTTCATCAAATGGAGAAACAAGGGCTGGCAGATAAAGTGAAAAGGAATTTTCTTGCCAAACTCCAAGATCTGGCCCTGAGGTGTTATTTGAACGCAAACTTTTGATTTTTTTTAGCAAGTTTTTATCTTAAAAGATCGACATGTTTTTGGTGTTGCTCTTGGAGCAAAATGCTGGACTTTGGGATTTGTTGCCATACGAACGGTTCACTGCAATGAAAATCAAGAATCATTGTGGGCGTTTTAGGTCGCAATAGGCGTCACATCAACTAGCCGGCACAATTTACACACTTACATAATGTTGTGTCTTAAGTTCAACAAGAAACAAGTATCAAACGTAGTAAAGGTATTATCTGGACATATGTGTTCACTTAGTATGCAAAGGGTTAACTTGATTTTCAAGCTTTTACGAACACTTCACTTTGTCTTATCTGGGCGCATTCTTCTTATCCTCTTAGCCTTATCTCGGCCCATTTCCGAATTACCCTTGACCTCATTTTCTAAACGAGTCCTGGCCCCGGTTGTTCAAAGGATGGATAACGCTATACACTGGATAAATCTCTATCTGGTGGATAGCGCATTACGTTTTGGTAACACTTATCCGCTGGGTAGCGATTTATCCGTTGGATAGCGTCATCCGCCCTTTGAACAACCGGAGCCTGGCGCTCATCCTTTCATGTGATTATAAGTTATAAGTTTTCATTCACATGCAAATTAAACTAATTTTCACAAGAATGGTTGAGTACCAGGCCTCGTTTTGAAAAAGAGGCCAAAAGTAATTCGGAAATGGGCTATTAGCCAGACTTTTATTTTTTTGACAACCACGGATGCCTCGCGCTCGATAAACGTGAGCAAAATTTACGTTTAAACCCTGTATTAGCGCTAAGTCACATCGTATTACCGACCCTTGGTTTTTAAATTGCAAACAAATGATTTACACAAATTCGCCAAGTGAAACAATTACCACAACAAAGCTTTTATATAGGTTCGCTTAACTGAGCGTAGTATTTCACAGATTTAGGTATTTATTCTACCCATATACAGAAACGCCATACTTTGGAG